GCCGGAGGAGGAGGAGGGAGGGCGGTGGGAGAAGGAGGAGGAGGGAGGGGCTGTGGGAGGAGGGCTGCCGGAGGAGGAGGGAGGAGGGGGCGGCCGCGGGCGGAGGGAGGAGGGCGCTGTGGGAGGAGGAGGGGCGGAAGGAGGGAGTACCTCGGTGGCGGACGGACGGCGGCGGCGGCGACGACGAACGACAATGGTTATCGGCGCGGGCGAGAGTGACTGAGAGGGAGAGTGTGAGAGAGAGAGGGTCAGCTGCGTGGGGATAAGGTAGGGTTAGTAGTAGCGCGGGTATGAAAAGGCGCTGCAGGTAAGGAGAATAGCAGTAGCGCGGTACGGTGTAAGGCGCTACTGCTATAACTAGCTGGACGGCGAGGTCATGGCAATTAGAGCAGTCATCTTGGCACCAGTGGAGGCCCGAGCTTCGGCTTCCCCAATGAGGAGGAGTATGGAACATATTTGCCATGGCCCTGCACGTAGACGCAGACGACCACGCGTTGTCGGGATTGAGCCCCGCTTCCGCCACGACGAGATTGTTGGTGTCGGCGGAAGCTCCTATTCCCCTATCCGTGTGGTGGAAAGCGAACCAACACGTACCCCTCGCTCATCCGCTCTTTTGAGCCGGCCCATGTGTGGGGCGGGGCTTCATAGTTTTTGTCTTTTATTTTTCATTTATTTTTGTTTTTTACCTTTAGTTTTTCTTTTTATTTTTTATTAGTTTTTTTTTGCTTCTTTAAAGAATGTTTGAGATTTCAAAACAGTTCTAAATTTTCAAAAATATCCACTAATTTTAAAAGAATATCCACAATTTTTTGAAAATGTTCCGGGATTCCAAAAAGTCTTCTGAATTTTAAAAACATTCATGAATTTGAAAAATATACTCATATTTTAAAATATAGATGCATTTTAAATTATTTATATATTTTTAAATGTTTTAAATTTTAAAAAAGGTTACAGTAACAAACTTGAAAGATGTTCTTGAATTCAAAAAAATCATGAATTATTAAAAATGTTCCGAATTTCCAAAAATGTTTTCCAATGTAAAATGTTTGCGCAAATTCAAGAAATGTTTACAACTTTCAAAAAATGGTGCCCATGCAAAAAGTATTCTCAAAAAGTGCTCACAAATTTATAAAAATGTTCATGAATTTGGAAAATGTAAGTAAATTTCAAAAAATGTTCCCAAAATTTTTAAAAATGTCGTAAGATTAACATGGAAAAAATAGGAAAAATGAAACCGAAAGAAAATCATATTAAAAATTAAAACCAATTTAGGGAAGGTTCAAGAACCTACTCAGAACCGGTGAAAGAAAGTCACGTTAGATTCCCGCGTATGGGCCAAC